AGAATGGTTTCTCTTCCCCTACACAGAAGTGTGGAAGTCTAAGAGGGGAGCCAGAATGTGATCCCACACAAAGCAGTAAGAAATAAGCCTCATGAATAAGGGGGCTTATAATCCAGAGAAATTAATTTCTTGCAATTCTGGAGGCTGTAAGTAGGAGATCAGGATGCCTGCTGGTGGGGCTCTGATAAGGACCCTCTTCTGCAATGGAGGCAAGGTGTCCTCTCATTGTGTCCTCAGTGGGAAAGAGCAAAGAAAGGAGTGTGAGGAATCCCAAGTCTACTCATCTTTTTATTAAGGCACTACTGTTGACACACACTCTCCACCTGCTTTACAAAAGGCCCCCTTTGAAATATCTTCATATTGGGTTGAGATTTCAATGGATGAATTTTGGAGGAACACATTCAGTCTGTACCACCAACCAAGAGAAGCAATAAAACCATACCAAGATGCCTCACAATCAAATATCTGACAATAAAGACAATGAAAATCTTGAAAGATCAAAGGAGTTTTTCTATGGGAAGGGGGCAATATAAATGAAAGCAGAAAGCATCAGAAAAACATGAAAGCCATAGGAAGGAGCATTTTATTTTTAAAGTGTTAAAAGAACTTTCAATACTGATTTCTGTATTTGGTGAATTTATTTTTCAGGAATGAAAGGAATGCAAAGATGATATGAAGAAAAACTAAGGGAATTTGTCAAAAGCAGACCTAACTTCAAATAATGACTAAAGGCAATTTTCCAATCTTGAAGAAATTGTTTTTCAAAATCTTGAAACAAGAAAGAGGGAAAAAAAAAGGAATAGAAAATACATGCCTAGCAAGTCAATATTTACTTCATTTTCAGACATTTTAGTCCTTTGATGATAGTTGGCATTATTTCCACATTTCGGAAGAAGGAATAAAAGCTAAATATAATTGGATGACTCTTCTAAGGCCGTACATTTATAAGCATCAGCACAGTTAGGAAATATGAGACAGAGGGGGCGGGGAGGGGGAGGGAGGGAGGGAGGGAGGGAAAGAAAGAAATAGAAATGAGGGATGTGCCTTGTTCATGAGAAAACTTAATTAATTCCATACATTTAGGACAGTACTGGAATATAATTTGCTATTATCTGTAAATGTTATTTGGGTTATCTAGACATTTTAAGCTTTTGTAAATAAGGACCAAATCTCGTTATTTGGCGCTAACTCCAGATAACTCTCAGACTGCTGAAGTTTTAGTTTTGTTGCTATTGTTGTTGTTGTTTTGTGGTGTACAAAGCATGGAAGTCTTACCACATGAGTAAGAGCCAGATATAAAATGAGAAAAGGCAGTAGCTTGAGAGAAGGAGTAACAGAATGAGAACCACTGCTTTGCATCCCTCTCACTCCCAGTACTGGGGATTGAATGCAGAGGGGTCTTCACCACTGAACTACATTCCCACCATTATTATCTTGAGACGAGTTCCTGCTGAACTGTGCAGATAGCCTCAAACTTATGATTCTCCTGCCTCTGTCTCGTGAGTCACTTTGATTACAGGAGCATGCCACCAGGCCTGCAGGACTGCTGCTTATTCATGGAGCTTTAAATCCATTTTTCTCCTCCTCAGTCTACATAGGATCTTGGAAGAAGCCTGCACAAAAGAAGAACTCCAAAACTTAAGATTTTTAACTTTGTAGAAAATTCAAAAAACGTTTTAGAAAAAGGAATTAATCTGCAGGAGGATCTTTGTCTGGAGATGAGGAGAAACAGAGTAAATGATTATGATTTTAGCCAAATAATTATTCAGAAAAAAAAATATTATTTTCTTGTCTTGCTTGTTAATGTAACTCAAGACATTTCCCTTAATCATTTCCAGAAATAAGAACTTTTGCTTCTTCTCTGAGCCTCATTCCCTCCCACCCTTTAAACAAGTATATATCAGGAAAGTGGAGAAGCAAGAATGCAGGCCCTGGGCCTGGCTGCCTCTCAGACAATAATGGCCTTTTAAAAACAGTGTTGTCCTTGTCCCATCATCTCATCTGAAATAGTGAGGGGGTAATGATAATCAGAACTAGCTAGTAAGACAGTTATGATTAAATGGGATGCAGTAAATTCTGGGTAAATGTCCTCTGTCATACTCGGCCTTGGAAAGAATGAGTTGGTAGAATATTAATAGCCCCAAAGAGAGAAAACCAATATGCTTAAGAAAAGATTATACAAGTGGTCATATCTGGGATATATTTAGAAGGTAGAGTCAATTGAATTTGCTTATGAGCCATGTGTGAGGGAGAAAGAAATTAAAGTGATACCCTATACTGAACAATTTGTGAAACAACTATCATTAACTGAAAAAAGCAATGTATGTGTTTTGTCCCCTTTCCTGAGTTCCTATATTGAAATCCTAACTCCAGTTCTTCACAAAATGACTATACTTAGAAAACTTGTCTTTATCAAGATGATTAAGTTAAAATTAGCCTTTGAGGACAGGCCCTAACCCAATATTTCCTGTGTTGTGGTAAAAAGAGCACATCTAGTCACAGAGAGAAACAGTGGGGCTGCCTGTGCACAGAGGAAGCCCCACAGGAGGACCCAGTAGAGATGACACTGAAATCAGAGAGGAGGAGAGGGCCTTGGAAAAACTGAACTTTCTGACAATTTAATCTTGGATTTTTACACTACAAAGTTGTATGGAAATAAATTTCTTTTACTAAGTCCACAAATTAGTAGTTTAGATTTTTGTTGTTGTTGCTTGGTTGGTTTTTGTTTTTGTTTTTGTTTTGCAATCATATCACGAGGTGGAAATCAAGTTTGTTTGTGAAATTAAGTACAAAATACATATTCCAGGAAAGTGGGTTGCTTCAGGGATTTTACTCACCTAAAGGTCCCCAAGAACATGCTGCAGATTTGCTCAATCTTCAACCCCACCTTTTTGAGTCTTTCCTCTCAACTTTTCCATAACCTTGGTTTGGTAGTGTCTGCTGAGTTCACAGGTGATATTTTTCTTTTATGACACTTTAATCCCATTCATGCATTGCTGACACTGAAGAAGGTCAGGAAAACCATGGCCCTGTGCTAGGACCCACCAGGCCAAAGCCTTCCACTTCCATAGCCACCCACACAGGATGTGAGCACATCCTTCCAGCTCTTCCCTATGTTTCTTCTCTCTCAGCTTCCTTTCCCACCTGAAGGTCAACCACCAGCCACCTGGTGAACACCACTCTTCTCTAGATTTCCTTCACAAATAGAGAAAGAAGTAGCCAGAAACATTCATCCCTAGTAACATAGAGGGACCTCCAGACACAAATGTTCCCTGTCTCTCATAAGACCCATAAGCACAGCTAGAACCATTCAGCTTTCCCCACAGGCAGCAAAGTGTCAACTACATCTACAGTCCCTTTCATAATATAGTCATGGCTGTGCCAGCACAGCACAACAGCACATTCATCCTGCAAGAGTCATATTATCTGTAGTCAATACCATTTTTTAGAATATTCTCTGCACCCTTCCAGAGAGGGCTGCAATAGACACTCATGAGCATAGCATAAGACCCAGTCTTCCATAATGGACAAGGGCCCTGTCTTTAGGATCTCCAGTCACATGAGTATTCCTACATTACCTCCAGCCAAACTCTCCTTTAATTACCACCAGTTCTGCAGTAAACAATCATTTGAAAGGTAACAGGGATTAAATGAAGAAAAGCAGCTGGTTAGAAAGATCTTTGTAGATTTCCATTAAAAAAGCAAGCCAATAACTACTAGATATAACAGAATCAAGAGTAGAAGGATAGAGATCAGCGATGCAAATACCCAAGGAAGACCTATTAGAAACATAATACCTTCTTACCAAATTTTGAAAATAACACATAGCAAAGAATAAAACAGAAAACAACTTGGAGATCATCTAAAGGACTTCTACCCAAATGCACGAGAAAATAAACCAGATTCAAGATGATAAACAAATAGAGGGAGTATTGGTTTAGAACATAAAATATCAACAAATAAAATTCAGAAGGAGAGCAGGATAGAATAAGCATCAAATACTGTAGATAAAGTTCTGTGTGGTAAAGACTGCTCAGAAAAACTGTGTATCTGATTAAAACAGAAGGTGAATGCAATGCAGTGTAGCTACTGAAGGTGATGTCAGACTCTTTATTCAACAATTATGGCCAATTAGTATTTTGCTCTATTCCATTATTTCAGTACATTCTCAAATTTGGTAGGAGCTTTGAAGAAGTCTGATAGTCTTGAAAGAGTGCATTACTTCCAGGAACTGTGTATTCCTGTTGCTCTTCTGTGGAAATCCCATGGTGGTTTCTGTGACTATTTCAGCTGTCATAACCCCCAAGAATTATAATAAGCACAGTATGTTTAGGATATTTGTCCCTACAACAATATTTTCCTTATTAGAGCAATCCAGTGAGCCCTGGATAATATTTTCGGGTTTGAGGCAGCTGTGGAAGTTCAACCTTGCCCTTGGCCTGGTGGGTCCTGGCACTGGACAGGTGATTCTATTGGTGGGTCCCTTTTCCTAACCTTGTGTTCACTGAGATATGTATATTCATATGTATTCATGTGGTTTCCTAAACCCTTACAGACTTGAACAGGAATGATCTGGATATTATCAAAATTCATCAGAATATTATACACTTGGGAATCACGTATCTTGGTGGGTAGAGTTTGGACTATAATAACATTCAAAGGTATTAACCATTTTCTCTTTTTCTATAGGATCAGGGCTGACATGACTGTACACATTTGTGTGTGCACGCATGCGCACACACACACACACACACACACACAAAACCAGCACAAACACAACATACAGTGTAAGACAGAGTTATACAATATCAAACAGACTAAATTCAAATAATGATGAAACTTTAATTCTAATATTTGTGCTGAATGGTCAACCAGTTTTCTTCAACACCATTGCCCAAGTCACATATTGCACCTCTTAGAAAAGAGACACTGGGCTGAGGTCCCAAAGAGAAAGCAGGGATGCAAGACATGCTAGTGTGTCAGCTGTGAGGTCACCCAGCATGGAACTCAAAGGCACCACTGTTCTGCTCCTCCTTATAAAGGGAGCTGCCTGGCTTCCCCAGCAGAGACTTGGGAGCAACTGTAGATCCTCCTCCAAGATGCTGGTGGTCCTGCTCACAGTGGCCTTGATGGCCCTGAGGCCAGCTTGGAGCTTATATAAAGGTATAAGAAAAGGGGTTGGGGGCATCTCTGTCTCCTGGGGCTTAGACCATCCTACAGCAGAGGGAGGCAAAATTATGAGAAACATGGAACATCAGAGTTTTTACAAAAAGTATAAGTCATGTGCACATTCCATATCAAAGCCTTAGAAATTAAGGTACATTTGAAACAGGAAAAAAAAATCTGTTTTGACCAGAGGAATGGTAAGGTAAATTTTCCATTTGCAGAAATATCTTTCTATGCCATGAATAATACATGCCGCAGTCTTGGCTGGGCACAAGATCACGAGCCACTCACACTTTGTAGATTCAAACAGCAATTCTTTATTCCCGAACTCACACAGGCCTTCAACAAACAGGTTCTGGGGAAATCCCAGTTCTGCCCGCACAATTCACGTCCCAAATACTTTCTATTCCAGGAGAACTCAACGGGAACTCAGGCAGCAGGAATGCCCTATTCCCAGCAGCAATAACCTTAAACCTGGAACTTCCCTAAACCCAGATTGTCTTAAACCGGACCGCCTTAAACTTGTCTTAAACTGGGAACACCCTAAACCCAAGGAGCGGGATACTTCCTCAAACCTGCAGGATACACCTTAAACCTGGATCCACCCTGGTCCTTGAGCAGGGTCACCTTTCTCAAAGACACATGCAAAGTCACAGCAAATTTCCATTTAACATGGGGTACGCTGGCAAGGAAATTTCGATGCSTCATTCCTACTTGGCARTGGCCCTCAGCAAATACACATGAAGGTGGGAAGACTGATACAGGGAATTCTAGTTGCAAAGACATCAACTAGATGCTGGCAGCCTTGCTGTACTGTGGATACAGGAAAGATGAAGGAGATACTCTTACGTAACTGTGCTATTTCACAGAGTCATGAAATAAATTTGACTCTCTACATAAGAGATAATAATATCAGGGCCCAATTTTTTTATTAATCTCCTACAACATTCAACATTTCATTGTGCTGTGAGCAGTGTTTAACATTGTTCCCAATTGTTTGCTGCTCTTGGGAAAGCATGTTAGTATAAGCAAAAAATATACTGAGGAAAATGGCTAAAAGAATTCTAAAATAAATCATTGAAACACTCAGAATACTTAACAAATATCAGCACTAAGGTATGAGGGATGCTTGAGAGGACCAAAAGGGCTTTGATTGCTCACTTGTTTGAATTTAGTCTGTTAATTTGTACCATGTGGTTGAGATGCAGTGTAGCAACCACCCAGCCACCCCCTCAAAGCTTCCTATCTTGCCAACAGCATCATAGACAATGACTAAGGGGTTCACTTATGGGATGTACAGGTTGGGGTTGGAAGTGATCTTTCCCTATAGGATACCTTTGAGACCTGAGATTGGTGACTAACTTTTCACTTTATCCTGTTCTCATTTCTTAGATTCCAACTATGAAGACTCTTATTCCCTATCATCAGGTAAGGCCCAATTCATGCTCAGCCAAACTTCTTTTCCTCATGAATGTCTTAGTTCTCCAGTGTCTTCTTATCATCATTTACTTAGGTTAGTAATGAATGAGTGCTAGTTTCCCCAAAGACATAAGGAAATATTCTCCAACCTTGATTCTGGGGACCAAAAGCACTATCTTGAACAACTGACAGGCCTGGCTCCTTGATAACAGGTTTATTTTTCTCACTCCCTCCCACAAAAGTGACCGCTGGAAGATAACACACAAATACACAGTGTCCTCATTCTGACTCCTATGTGGTACAGAGAGTCCCTCAACAGCTTCTTCCTTCCCCAATCATCCCTTTTAGAATCATATGGTTTCATGATGAAATGCACAGAAATAAGTATCTCTGTATCTTTTTTCTGGATTTCTCCACTCAGCTGTGTGCCACAGGTAAACAGTGAACTCCCCCATCAACTGTCACTTTGTCTTTCTCTTCTCTCCCTCAAGATTTCTCATTGTGGGTATAGGATGCTGAATAAAGTAACTCATTTCAACATTTTGGCTTAGATATCCAGACTTGGTTTCACAGGCAGCAAGTTAGCACCATGTTGCAAAATATAACTGGTGACATAACTGAGATTTATAATCCTTTCACTTTGCTTCTCCCTTGTCCTGGGGAAACAATTTCTAGGAATGGCAAGGAAGTCAAAACTTTATTCTTCAATACATTCAAGGGTACATGATTGTCCCAGGAACACAGATGTGAAGCTTTCCATATCATCCATATTTGGATTGAAAGGAGATCTTTATGAGGTTACTGTAGATACAGGAGAGGTTAGCTGTTCAGAGGCTAGTTCTGGGACAAAGTGTCTGTGTGACAGGATCAGAGAGGTACACAATGAGGAGGTTCCTCTGCCACTAATGCCATCTACTCCTGTGCTGTACCCACACAGAGGCTGAGGACCCAAGCCAGAGCTCCAAACAAGTCCCTCATAGACCACCTCCTGGAGGACGCCCACCCAGACCCCCTGCTGATGGTGGAGATGACAATGAAGATGAAGATGAATGTGATGACTCAGAGCAGGGACCACCAGAAGGACGCAATCAGCAGCCTCCTAAACCTCTTCGTCCTGGACACCAGCAGGGACCACCCCAACAAGGAGGCCAGCAGCAGCCAAATGGGCCCCCTCGTCCTGGTAACCAGCAAGGACCACCCCAACAAGGAGGCCAGCAGCAGCCAAATGGGCCCCCTAGTCCTGGTAACCAGCAGGGACCACCCCAAGAAGGAGGCCAGCAATAGTAGTCAAATAGCCCCCTCCTGGTAAACAGCAGGGACCTCCCCAATCAGAAGGTAATTAGTAGCAACCTGTCCAATAACATCCCAGATGGCCCAAAGAGATATTCCATAAACAGCTGTTCAAAACAAATCAACCCAATAATCTGGAACTCAGTGATAAATTTGATTTATGTTCACTCTCCAGCGAAGAACTTCACACCTCAGTGAAGTTCAATGTGGCAACCAGTCATTTGGGTATACTTTGAAATTGTATGGTCTTGAACCATTTCTAAATATCTCTATTCAAGATATTCTTGGGTAGAGTAGTAAGACTTTTCTTTTTAATAAATTCTCCAAGGAAATCATTTCAAGGAGCACTACCCCAAAATGTTATTTTTCCTAATAATTACCTACTTTCACTGCTGCTGATTTTAAGAATGGAGCTGTGTTCTTTCTTTTGTTCTTACCCTCTTTTTTTCTATAACTCTTTTTTTAAAATTATTATTATTTTCATTTTTCCTTCCTTTTTTTTAAGCACTAGTCTGTGCTTTGCGAGCAGAATCAAGACATTAACAAAGGTCAGCTTCTCTGAAGAAAAGAATTTCTGTAGAACAAAGACAGCTACATGTTTCGCTGCCATTACACAGCTCAAAGCAGGAAAAGAAAATATTTACAAAATACAAGTTTTTTAATTTTTGTTTTTGGGTGTTTTTTTTTTGGGGGGGGTGTTGGTTTGGTTCTTACCCTCTTGCTGGGACTCAATGACTTCCTATTTCCTTTTTCCACCTGGCCACTCTCAGTTCACTTCTATCTCACACCATGGCTCTTGGGTCCATTTTTCTTGCTAAATGGCATTCAAGTTTATGATCCTAAATGTCTTGTAGTCTTTTAATGCTTACTAGCAAATCAACCCAACCTTATGCCAAAAGATAATACAACTGAACAGAAAGGTAAGAAGCCAAATCTGATGGCATATCTCATTCTACCACCTATATCCCTCAGCAAATGTCACAATACCATTTCTTTTGGACATCCTCTTGGAATCACTTATACATACATAAGTATGTTATTCCCTTTTTCCTGCGAGGCATACCATAAATTATATGTAGACATATCTGTTATTCCTTTCAAATAACACATTTCTTTGAAAGCTTTCAAATCAGTTCATACAGAGTTATACAGACCTTCCTTGTTTCATTCCCTCTTTATTTTAGACTTCTTTCTTTCTAAATGTGTTCCTTTCTCTCCTTCTCTTCCCTATCTTCTTGTCTACCATTTCACTTCCTCCTCCTTCCCTCTCCTTATTCTTCTCCTTCTTCTCATTTACCTTCTTCTTCCTCATCAACTTCTTTATTTATGATTTTGCCAATTTTTAATATTCCATTGTTTGTCTGTGCCGTAGTTTGTGAAACCTAACCCTGCTGTTTGAATTTAAGTTGGTTTTAATTTTGCTAACTTAGATGTAACTTGCAAGGATACTCTTAGTAAATATATCTTTGGTCATTTCAATAACAACTAAAAGATAAACAATCAAGACATAAATTTTGTTTCTTTATCTTAAAAAGCAACAATTTAGAGCACATTATGTGCTTAGATGCCTAGTAAGAGTGAATATAAAAATTTAGGATTCAAAGGTTGGGATGAGAAAGGGAAGAGGCCCAGGAGGTGGGCTCTTGCAAGCCTCTCCTCGGTGATGCCAGAGAGACTTTAGAATAAAATCTGTATGTCACATCTTTCCTATAACCTTCTTTGTTTTGTTTTTGTTTTTTACAGAAAGTGAATGATAAGCTGATGTCCCTAGTGAAGTTATGCCATTGGAATAATGTGATCATAACTGTATCTTTAATATCCCAATCAACTAATCAGCATACAATTTCTAGTTTCCGTTCCTCTTTTCTCTGTGTGGGTGAGCCTGAAATTTTAGAGTCTTAGGCATGATACCAGAACATCCAGGACCCCTTCTGATGGTTGTGTTCAAGAAGTCTCTCCTTATTCACAAACCACCTGTCACATGAAAGAGTTCCATTTTTTCCTTGCCTTCTAGGATTTTATGAGACAAATGAAATTTCTAAAATTGTTTTCAGAATATTTACTAATATTATTATAATTTTAGGGGAAAAAGGAATAGAGACAAAAGTGAAGAAATTTCAGAGACACAGGAAACCTTATTATTTCCAAATAATCTTGCTTTCTTGGGAACTGAATGTGTTTCCAGCCTTCTTCTCCCTCAAATTCATTATCTTCCTTTTCCTTCATTGGTGTATATACAGTACCCTCCCCCAGTAGGTAACCACCATTCTTTAGTAAAACCTGTCTGGATTCATAACAGAGATACTATGATGGATTTTAAAAGATGAGTAATTTGGTCCTTTCCAGCATTTTTTTCTTGCCAGCTGTGGACTCCCAGAAAGCTAACACAATAACCAAAATTGTGACTAATAATGCTATACCAGGACATATCAGGATTAGGAATATTATGAATTTCATATAATTTCTGGAACACATATTAATAACATATCTAATATTAATCAGATATATCTACATAATTCAAAGGTTAAACTAACCCTTCCCTCCATTCCTCATTGTCCAATCTACTACACTTCTATTCTTTCCCTCAACACCCCACCCTTATGGTGAGTTAGCTTCTACCTATCAGAGAAAACATTTGACCTTTGTTTTTTTTTTGGGGGGGGGGGAACTAGCTTAATTCACTTACGATAGTCTCCAGATCCATCCATTTGCTCATAAATGTCATAAAGTCACTCTTATTTATGGCTGAGTAAAATTCCAAGGTGTATATATACAATATTTTCTTTATCCATTCATCTATTAAATGGCAACTATATTGGTTTCATAGCTTATTTATTGTGAATTGGGCTACTATAAACATTAAATGGGGCTGTGTCATTCCAGTGTGCTGATTTGAACTCCTTTGGATATATACGGAGGGGTGGGATAACTGGGTCAAATGGTGGTTCCATTCCAAGCAAGAGGCATCACAATACAAGATCTAAAATTATATTATGGATCTATAGTAACAAATACAGCACGGTATTGGTGCCAAAAGAGGTAAGAAGACCGTTGGAGCAAACTCACAAAAATACAGTTACCTTGGCTGGGATGGTGGCTCAGTAGTAGTGCGCTCACCTAACATGCACGAGGCACTAGGTTCTATCCTCAGCATCATATAATTGTAAAATAAAGATATTGTGTCCCCCTAAAACTAAAAAATAAATATTAAAAAAATACAGCTACCTCATTCTAGACAAAGTTGCCAATAATATACATTGAAGAAAAGATAACTTTTTCAACAAATGGTGTTGGGAAAACTGGAAATCCATATGTAGTAGAATGAAATTTGACTCCTATCTCTCAATGCTGCACAAAACTCAGCTCAAAGTGGATCCAGGACCTAGGTATTAGACGAGAAGCCCTGCATATACTAGAAGAAAAAGTAGGCCCAACACTCCAAAGTATTAGCACAAGACTACCTTAATAAGACCTCTAAAGCCCTAGAAGTAAAATCAATAATTGATAAATGGGGTGCCATCAAACAGAGTTGTTTTTCTTACCTCTTGTAATTTTTATGTATTACAGTTCTTAACTCCTAGTAACTTTAATTTTCAAAAGCATGTGTTGTGTAATAGTATAGTTATTTAATGTGGCACATAATGGTTCATTAGCATATAAAAAAGTCTTTGATTTTTTTTTGTAGTAAAAAGCCAAAAGTGGATAAATATATATGTTATGGCTATGTTTTGTTATATTAGCTTATTTAGGAAAACAGAAACCATACTTTCATAAAAGTGACTGGAAGAGTTTGGAAGTGAATGCTGTCAATAGCCGACATTACTAGAATCGTTAATTCTGATTCAGGTGAGGAAAGGAGAGCATATAGAGAAGCTTTAGTACACATTGGGATTATTTAAGAGGCTGTGATCAGAAGTTCAGTAGAAATGATATTAAAGGCCATTCTGATGAGGACCAAGACAGTAATAAGGAACTTATTATTGGAAGGTATAGTAAAGACCTTTCTTGCTAAAAAGTGACCATTGAAATACTAGGCTAAATGGTGTTCCTGGCCTCACTGTTTTGTGGAAATCAGTACTTAAGATCTATTAACTTGGGTATTTGGCAGTAGAAATTTCTACCCAATGTGTTGTGGGTATAGCCTTAGCTCTTCTCGACTGCTTATAGTAAACTTGGGAAGAGATAAACAGATTAAAGATGAGATTCATCATTCAAAGGGAAGCAAAACTTTGAGAATTGGAAAAATCTCACTCTGTGAAAGAAAGAATGAGAAAACATGCTTGACAGGGAACACCAGGAGTATGTCCAAGCAAATATTTAATAAAGAGATTTGGGTGGAGAGAAGCAAGGCCGATGCCCTTTATGGAGACAATGGGGTAATGACCATACAGGCCCTGGGGAGATTTCCAGTGACCATACTCCTATTTCAGGCCAGTCATTCCTTGGCACATGCACCACAAATACCCTGTTTGGACCCAACTCATTATTTTCTGGGCATCCACTAGTAATTGATCTGTTGGAATATGAAAAGGTAATCATTTTCCATTCTGGGTAGATACACAGATGTGACTGTTTGGAATCCATTCCCACTTTACCCTGGCTCCATTTTTTTAAGTCATCCTCATGTTTCCTCACAAAATACCAGGATAATATTTCCTTGAAATGAAGAAAAAGTGAAGGGAAATTAGAAAAATATTAATTGCAAAGACAAAATTTTCTTCATGTTAAAAAAGATCAATGGGGGCCTTAAAACTATTTTTCTACTTAGAGGAAAAGTCCTGAGACAAGGTCTTAACAGAGACAGTATAAGGAATCCCAGCTCTGATGTGCTCTGGTTATGACAGGGAGGAATGTATTCCATGTTGTATAAGAACAATGGATGAACATGCAACACTTACCTCTGACATAAACTAATAAGTGTGTAAGTAATAAATACAAGCATTACTGTAATGGTTCCTGAAATATATATTATGGGAGCCAAAAGGAACTTCCAG